ACCTAAGAAATATCTTTATTTAATAAAGAATTTATATTACTAATAAAGTAATATTTACTAACTTTATCTTAAGGATATTATTTATTAGATCTATATATATAATATTTAAGTATTCTTTTAATTAGAAGGAAATAGAATTATAGGTATAGTTTAGTAATATTAGGGTAATAACCCTAGTAACTAGACTAATTATATAAGAAGCTATTAATAAACTACTTAATAATAGAAAAACCTAATTTTAAATATAAACCTTAATTATTAATTAGGAGCTTATAAAATAAGAATTAGTATTATAAAGAGAAGTTAAGAAAAAAGATATAATCTTTTAGTTAAAAGAGGAAGATAAAGAGACTATTAAAAATACCTTATACTATATAATTATAAAGAATTATATTAATAAAGATAAGGAAGTAACTATAAATCTATAAGAGTAACTATATAAAAAGTTAAAAATCTTTACTTTATATAAGAGAAAGAGGGTAAAGGTTAAATTACTAGATATATCTAATAGCTTTATATTAGAAGGTAATCTAAAGTAAAAGGAGAAGAAGTAAAAGCTAGTAGAAGGTAAAGTAAAAAGAGTAAGTAATTATACTAATTTCTTAATAAGTAAATTTTTAAAGATTAAAAAAGGTAGTAAATTATATAAAGACTAACTACTTAATATAAAAAAGTAGATCTTTAACTTAATAATATAAAAAAAAGAGATATTCCTTATTATACTTTATAATTAAGAAGTTACTTTAACTTAGATATTTAAAGAGAATAGTTAACTTAACTTAAATATAGTATTATTATAAGAATTAAAGGTTATTAATTATAAGTCTTAGTATATAAAATTAATCTTAATTTTAAAGAAGATCTTACTAAAGTTTATCTAACTCTTAAAGATAAGACTTAAAGCTAGTGTCTTAGAAGAAAGCTATAATCTTTATAAAAACCTAATATTTCTAGTTATAAAGCTAGATAAAGGCCTAAGACTAATTAACTTTATAATAAAAATTAATATAGTATTAGTTTAAGATATAAATATCTTACTTATTTATAAAGAAATAGTAAAAGACTTTATTATATATAAAATCTTATTATTATTAGACTTTTTCTTTAGTTATAATTAGGTATTTTTTATAATTAGAAGCTAAGATTTAATAACCTTCCTTAGCCTAATTAGCTTACTTAAAATATATATTTTACCTTAAAGTATTATTAATTTTATTATATAATTTATATATATTATAATAAAGATATTAATAGAACTTATACTTAATATCTATTATTTATACCTAGATAATATTATTATAAAGGGATCTAATAGTATATATAATAATAAGGAGGTCTTATTAGGTATTAGATATTATATAATAAGATATATCTAGAACTTAGATAAGGTATTAGTAAATATTAAACTTATAAATTATATAATATTTAAAAAGAAAAGCTATTAATATTAGAAAAGAGTAGTAATTATAAGGTTCTTTTATAATATCTTTAGTTATAACTTTACTAAATATAGAATACTAAAAATTCTTAAGTAAAAGAAGTATTAAAACCTTAAGGAGGTATATAGCTTTTTAGATATAATAGCTAGTTATAAACCTATAATTAATAGCTATTTAATAATTACTAAGCCTCTAATAAGATTATTAAAGAAAGAGATAGCTTTTAAGTAAGGAGGAGAGTAAGAAGAGGTAATAAAAGTCTTAAAAAAGGCACTTATTATAGCCCTAATCCTAATTACCTTAAGTTTTAAACTAAGGGTAAGACTAATTATCTTCTAAGTAAACTCTTTTTTATTTAAATAAAAAGCTATCTTAATATAAGTAGTAAATAAGAGAAGATATCTAGTAAGATTTAAAAATAATATTTAAATAATAATAAAATTAAAATATAATTAAATAAAATATAAGTATTAAGGATTATTATATATAATATATTAGTTATATAGATATATTTATAATACTTATTTTTTTTTTAAAACTAATATATTAGTTTTAAAGTAATAAATTAATAATAAAGTAAATAATATTACTAGTTCCTTAATTATAAGATAACTAAG